GTTGGGAGAAGGAAGCTTCGCCGCTTTAATCAGACAGGCCGTGTCCGCCAGGCGGTCCAAGCCTTTGAGTCGGGCCTTGTGATGGATACGGGCCTGCCCGAGCAGCCCGAGGGGGGTGGGGGTGGGATTGAGTAGTTGGGTCTCAACGAATACGGGACCAATCTTGTGGCACCTTTGGGCGGTAACTTAAAACGCCCTTTGGAAGAGTTGGAAGATCATGCTGCGTCAGCCCCGACCCCTAAGAAACAATTTGTGGAGGAAGTTGAGGAAATGGATAAGGTGGAGGAAGCCAGCCTAGAGTGGCCCCACCCGATTAAATGAGGCTTCTGGCCTGGAATGTGAGAGGAATTGGGCCATCCCTCACGTTCCAAACTGCTGTTGGTTTGATTCGTTCGAATAAACTGGATCTCATTTTTCTTTCAGAGACACGATCGAGCCGGAGAGTAGTGTCTCGCCGTATGCGCGGTTTAGGTTTTGAGTTTTCTCATTGTTTTTTTGTTGATGCGATTGATGCATCGGGTGGTTTAGTTGTAGCGTGGGCCCCCGAAGTTGATGCTTCGGTATTCTTTCATTCGAACTTTTGTATTTGCACTCAAATTAATGAAAGTTATGTTTCTTATGTGGTGGTTTCGGTCTATATTAGCTGTCATCATGCGATTCGAGCAAATCAGTTGGCTCAACTTCAGCAGATCTGTGCCGATATCCATCTTCCTTATGTGGTCATATGTGACTTTAACGCAATTCTTCGTGAGAATGAGAAGGATGGTAGGAATGCGTGGAATTTAGCTTACTCTATGAGTCTTAGGGATTTCGTTCAAGACCTTGGTCTTCACGATCCTGGATACCACGGGGACCCTTTCACCTGGACTAATAAACGGATGGGGGTAGCCTATATTCGTGAAAGGCTAGACCGAGCTTTATGCCCCCAGGGCTGGATTGATCGCTATCCGGAGACCCTGGTCAAGCATTTCACAGACCAGGGATCGGATCACCGGGCACTCCTCCTCTCTGACAAACCTTATACCCGTAATACCATACCATTATTCCGTTTTGATGCTCGATGGGCGGATAATCCGGAGGTCAGGGCGATGGTTAGTTATGTTTGGAGGGAGGATGTCGAGGGTAATCCTATGTTCCAGTTGTGGGAACGGTTGAAGAAGCTTCGGCACCTACTTTATGACTGGAGTAGAGCTGGTACCACCAATTCCCTGCGTAATATTAAAACTCTCCAATTTGAAATAGACCAGGTGAAACGTGTTCATCCAATCGACTGGGACACTATCCGTGGCCTGGAGGTTGAGTTGAATAGGCAGTGGGAGGCTGAGGAGATTTATTGGCAACAGAAATCCAGGGTCCATTGGTTAAAAAAAGGAGATCAGAACACTTCCTACTTCCATACAGTTACTAGAGCGAGGAGGAAGCAAAACTTTGTGGCTGGCCTCCGAGATGAGAATGGGGAATGGATAACGGATGAAGCTGGGAAGGCAGGAATTGCTTGTAATTTCTATAGTTCCCTCTTTACTTCAGAAAATGAGATAAGGAATATGAAAGAGAGGGTTGCGGAGTTACCCATAGCCCAGCATATTTCCCCGAAGATGAATGCTAGATTGACGGCGGAAGTCCTTCCTGATGAAGTAAGGAAAATTGTGTTTTCTATGGGATCCAAACAAGCACCTGGTTTGGATGGTTTCACAGGTAAATTTTTTAAGGCCTTCTGGGGCATTGTTGGTTCCTCTGTGGTAGAGGCGGTTTGCTCGTTCTTCAGAACGAGCCGGATGCTCCGTAGCTTTAATCATACCTGGTTGACCTTGATTCCCAAGGTGGACAACGTGGAAACCATGAGGCAGCTTCGTCCAATTAGTCTTTGTCAGTTCATTTACAAAATTATCACTAAGATTATGGCCGAACGGCTAGCTGAGCTGTTGCCTCAGGTGGTTTCTAAAGGTCAAAATGCTTTTATTCGAGAACGGCAGATAGTAGAAAATATTCTTATCGGGCATGAGTTGATGCATTATCTAAAGATAAAAAAGATGGGAAAGAAAGGGTACATGGCTCTAAAGGTTGACATGGAAAAGGCCTATGATAGAGTCGAATGGCCCTTTCTCCTCGCTGTCTTGGAAAAAATGGGCTTCAACTCTACCTGGAGGGGGTGGGTTCATGAATGTCTTCGTACGACTTCGTTCTCGGTCCTGATGAATGGTACCCCCTCGGGATATTTCTCTTCGTCCAGAGGGATCCGCCAGGGGGATCCTCTTTCTCCGCTCTTGTTTGTGCTATGCACCGAGGGATTTGCGGCTCTCCTGAATAAGGCCATTGCAGAACACAAGCTCCAAGGGGTTAAGGTGGCTCCGAGGGCTCCTCGTATTTCGCACCTCTTCTTTGCGGATGATTCCTACTTGTTTCTAAGGGGATCCCTCCAGGAATGCGAAAATCTGATTGAGGTTTTAAACGAATACGAGGACCTTAGTGGTCAGCGGGTTAATTTGGAAAAATCTGCTGTATGTTTCAGTGGAAATATTGCTTTGCCTGACCAGGAATTCTTGGCCCAGATTCTAGGAGTTGGGGCAGTAGGGGTATACGATAAGTATCTTGGGCTACCAACACTCATTGCTCGCTCGAAAATGGCTACTTTTCGGTATTTGGAAGAAAAACTGTTGGAGCGACTGCAAGGTTGGAAACGGAGGACACTATCTTGGGCTGCTAAAGAGGTCTTGATCAAGTCAGTCGCTCTGGCATTACCATTACATGTCATGTCTTGCTTCAAGCTCCCTCTGTCCCTTTGCAGGCTCCTTGATAAGCATGTAGCCAGGTTCTGGTGGAGTGTTGAAGAAGAGCAGTCGAAAATTCGCTGGGTTTCTTGGCGTAATTTGTGCAAAAGCAAACATGATGGTGGAATGGGATTTCGCCGCTTTGAGCATTTTAATCAGGCCCTTTTGGCTAAGATTGGATGGCAAATCCTTAACGAACCTCAATCTCTCTTAGCGCAGGTCTATCAAGGAAAGTATTTCCCTACGGGAACTTTTCTCACTGCTCAAGCGCGATCTCGTCCATCTTGGGGATGGCAGAGCGTTCTCTATGGTAGACAGTTGCTTGAGAAGGGGATCAGATGGCAGGTTGGGAATGGTCTGAAGACCTCCCTCCTTTCATCAAACTGGGTTCCGCTTTTACATCCGACTCCTCCGCGATTCAACCCTCTGATCCTTTCGGTGGGGGGAGATCTCCCAGTCGCTGAGGTGATCATCCCGGGGGAAGGACGCTGGGATGAGTCTAAGTTGAACCAGTGGTTTGATCCTCCAACCTGTCGAGCCATCAAAACTATCCCTCTCCCGCGGGGCACTGTAGAGGATCGACTGGTTTGGCATGACTCTGCGGATGGGGCTTTCTCAGTGAAATATGCTTATCATCTGGCAGTCCGCTTGGATCAGTGTACCAACCGATGGAGAGCTACGGTTAGTTGGATGGACAGAGTCAGTTGGATTCGGTTGTGGGGGGCCAAGATTCCGCCCAAGCTAAAGGTTTTTCTTTGGCAAATTTTTAACCGGGCTCTTCCCACAGCAGAGGCGTTACGTGAAAAGGATGTGGAAGTTCACCCCAGGTGTCCAGTGTGCTGGTCGGCGAGTGAGGAGCATTTGTTTCTTGATTGTCTGATAGCCCGTGCACTTTGGGATTTTGCAGGGTTGGAGCATTTAGGGCAAGGGTTACCCCGTCATACTTTCCCTCTCTTCCTTAAGACTTTGATGGCAATTGTCCATCAGTCGGACCTGTGGTTGGCTGTCGTGGCTGTCCTCTGCGAATCTGGAAATCTCGCAACTGGGTGGTCTTTGAAGGGAAGCAGTTTGGGTTCCCAGCTTTGATGAGGCAATATCACCAGCAGCTGGCTGAATGGGCTCGCCTCCCTGCTGATCCAGGAATGATGCCAGTAACTCCCTGTACCAGCCGCTTGAACCCGGTGCGGAGTACTTCTATAGTATGTATGTGGGATGGGGCGACCCGTCGGGGGTCGCACTCGGCAGGGGGGGTAGTAGTCATGACGTCGGCCAGGGAGATTTTGGGGGTGATAGGGGTTCAGTTTCAGTGTATTGATGACCCATTAGTGGTGGAAGTTCTTGCTCTTCGGGAAGCGGTTTGGTGGTGTCTGGAGCATGGTTTCTCGATGGTGCAATTTGAAGGGGATGCCAAGGTCGTCATTGATAAGATCAATCGGGCAGAGACTGGTGATATCCGGATGGGGGCTGTGCTTGAAGAAGTAGTTTCTTGTTTTGCCTCTAGGACGGGGTTTAGTGTGCGATTTGTAGGTAGGCGTAACAATCGGGTAGCCCATGTAGTGGCTAGAAAGGCCCTTTCTTTGTTGCCTTCTGCTTGTCGTGTGTTTGATTTTCAGGCCTGGCTGAATTCCAGGATGTAATTATCTCTTTGGTTAATCAATATATGATATCTTTTGCAAAAAAAAAAAAAAATTATATAGGTCGAAACTCGAAACATTATAGAATGAATAATAAGGTACTACAAGTGAAGGAGAGGTCAAAGACTAGGTACAATCGCCAATGTAATAAATAAACTTATCATTTCAACAATGAAACAAATCCAAATGCCAATCGAGTGTTGAAATTTTGGAATGGATAAGTGCATATACAATAATTGATTAGTTTCGAATATTTTAATTTATGGATACCAATAACAATGCCTAACATCGCCACACCTACGAATATTTCGGAATCAATCCTCTTCAATTTCTACTTTTGCTTCCAATGTGAGTAAAAGTGGTAAAGTTTTCTAATCCAAGTTTTAGTACATGGCTTCTTATATGGTGGTTATGTATGCAATTGTGAGGAGTTTTTAATATCGATTTACTCATTTTATGGTCTATGGCATGTTACGAGACGAGGTTCAATAGTTTCAATGGCTTCTGGTAATTTATTTTTTCCTTATTTTGATGTGGACACACACATTTTGTGTTACAGATCATTGTATATAATATTAGTGTAAACCATGTACGAGTTATCTACTAAACGAGTCAAATTACATGAATTAATGATCCTTAAAATTGAAGAACATCTAACAAATTTGTCATTGAACATCAATTTTTCACAATTCTACCATTTATATCTAGACCAAATAACATGTAACTTGGTAGCCATCATCCCATTACTTACCGTACAGGCTTAACATGCACAAATCAGTTCGTCAACTCATCCATCATATCAATAAAACTCCTCTACATGAACCTTCATAATTCAATTATCGTAACTCTTCTGTTTTTCTTTTGGATAACTTGCAGTAGCACTTAATACTTCATACATGAAATCAAATTAAACGAATAAATCCATCACGAAGTGGATCAAGTCCAGACCTCAAAAGACGAATTTGTTAAAAATAAAAACTTATGGACCAAATAGTTAGGTACTCCATAATTTATTAACCTTTTTGTGTAGCGAGCCCGTTACTTGATTAAAAAAAAAAAAAAGCCCTCCAGAAAGGAAGACCGCTTTATCCCAAGCCCACGTTTCCCTCTCCCGCGGTTGTAACATCCAAACGCGGCCTTTTCACAACTTCCAAACGAACTTTCTCACGCTTCTCTAGTTGTCTCCTCCTCCGGACCCTCTCTCAAATCTTGCCACAAAAAAGATCTCACATTTCCGCTCGATAAGAATCTGTCTGCATATCCCACTTCTTAATTTCCCTTTCTTTTGCCCCAGATCGTCGCCGATTTCCTTCCCACGTCGCCGGTTATCATGTCGGTACGTGAAATTTCCTCTCCACTGGTTTATGCCCGTCGTAGTAGATCTGCGCACTCAATTTTTCGTTTCTGGTTTTTATTATCTTTTTGGCCCATATTGTTGCGATTTCGGGGGTTTGGAAATGACCCAGTTAATCAATTTCGCCTCTTTGATCGTCCATTGTTGGTCTGATGGCTCTCTTCGTTTTACCAGTTCGACATGGATTCCTCTTTGTCGTTGTTGAATATTGACACAGCACGAACATGGATATGAAAATTGTGCTCTTGGGTTTGCTGTTGGAATTGGGGTTTAGACCAAATGATTCTTACGTTAAAAAGCAAATTTAGGTGATTTAACGAGAAGGGTCAGATGAAAGGCATCTGATTCGTTGTCGATCAGTACCAATGCGTATTTTACTTTGAAACTTTGTCGAAAAACACGTCGGAGTTGGTCTAATGATAACGAGTCGATGAAATACTCGATCAGTACTTCATCGTGATATGAGAAGATACGCATTTCATGTTGAGCGCATTATGCGTTGGAACTTGGGGCTCAACTTGATGTATAAAAATAGGGGGTTATTTGAATTGGATTACTGAGTGGTGGTCCTCAACTCCTCATTCTCGTATGGAATTGATTATTGGTTTAGTAATTAGACGCGCATTTATCAATTTATGAAGGGTGGATCTTGGGAATCTCTCTTTGGCCTCGTTGGTCATCGTATACTTTTAGTTTAATGGTTAGTAGTTTGATTACTGACACGCTGATGTGTTGTAATTTATGACCGTTTAATAACTCAGTTCATTGTTGTCGCAGGTGAAAACAGTGAAGGTGAGCAATGTTTCTGTAAAGGCGACGGATAAAGACCTCAAGGAGTTCTTTTCTTTCTCTGGTGATATTGAATATGTTGAGATGCAAAGGTAAATTTTACTTTAACGAATTCGAATTAAACTACGTGAGTCCTGTGTATCCTGTCTTTGAAAAAACTGATTCCACTATGCTTTTATGTAGTGTTGATGAGAAATCTCAAGTGGGATTTGTTACCTTCAAAGATGCTCAAGGCGCAGATACTGCAGTTCTTCTCTCGGTAATTGAACTCCCAAGAACCTTCATGTAATACATCTCTAGTTGCCAGTCCAGCTCTGGTCAATGGTATTACTCGTGTATCTGTTTTTGGTCCATAAGTTATAGGATCCATTAGAGTTCATTACGTTTGGAATATGCTCGTACTTAGTAATCACATTCTGGATGACTCACATGCTATGTATGCCGGGATTACATCTATTCTCACCTATATGATGCACCCTTAAATTTGGGGTTTCTCAGGACTAAGATTACATATTGTCGTTTGAGTGAAAACAATACCAATTCCAGGCATATGTGGTATGTGAAATATCAAGAGCATGTTTGGTTTTTTCAAAGTTTTTTAACAGATGGCCTAAAAACGGACAAATGATGTGGTCTATTTGTTAAGACACCATAGTAAAGGAACTAAAAATGCTTGCTAGTCCTTTATTTGTTTGGTTGATTTGGTTTAATTCCGGTATAGGTACAGGTTATGTTTGTATACTTACTTTATCTACATTGTTTTTCTTTGTTTAGGGAGCAACTATAGTTGATCTTGCTGTCACCATTGCTCTAGATCCAGATTACAAGCTACCACCGGCTGTCTTATTGGCAATGGTAAGAATCTCTTGGAACTTGCACTGGTTCACGAATGGACAGTAGGTGATCCTTTTGATTGATGATTGTTGAAATGGGTAGTTGTTCCAAATAGATAGCATGTAGATTGTTTCGAACATGTTGATTCTCATGATCTCATCACTGTAAGTTCAAATGTTTACAGGAGAACAATCCATCTGCACCTGCTGAGCCCGACTCAGCTCTCCGAAATGCGGAGGACGTGGTCAGCAGCATGCTGGCCAAAGGCTTCATCTTGGGCAAAGACGCTGTCAACAAGGCCAAATCCTTTGATGAGAAGCACCAGCTGACGTCAACTGGCCTAGCCAAAGTCGCCTCCTTCGACAAGAAGATAGGCCTCACCGACAAGCTCAGCGCCACCAGCACTGTGATGGGCGACAAGGTACGCGAAGTTGACCAGAAGTACCAGGTTTCCGAGAAGACCAAGTCTGCATTCGCAGTCGCGGAGCAGAAGGTCAGCAGCGCTGGTTCGGCAATCATGAAGAACCGGTACGTGTTCACCAGTGCTGCTTGGGTGACGGGGGCATTTAGTAAAGTGGCCAAGGCGGCGGAAGACGTGGGTCAGAAGGCGAAGGAGAAGGTTGGGATGGCCGAGGAAGAGCAGAAGAGGAAAGTGGTGGAGGATTTTGCTTCAGTTCACTTGGCCGATTCCCCGAATGTACCATCAAGCCATGATCATGATGATCAACTAGAGCAGAAGTTTCAGCAGGAGTCGCCCTCTCCTGCTGATCCGAAATTGCCACCGAGTGCGGACATCAAATCGTCATCGCCATCTTCCAAATCTCCTCCCAAGCCAGCACCTGCTCAAGGGTTGATCCTTTGAAAAACTCTCAGTCTTCTCTTATCTTTGATCTCTGATTTGCACAAAATGGAGGGAGTTGGATCTTTGATTTCTGAATGCTACACGCCAACTACAAGGAACACTTTACTTTTTATATATGTTTTCTCATAATCATATCATTAGCCTCATCTTTTTCTTGTTCTTCCATGTGTATATGCAATGCAATGGACGAAAGATGGTTTTTTCAGTATATAAATCATATGAACTATTTAGGACGTGCTTACTACTAGCGATTAATTGGGATGAATCTTCGGCAGAGATCAGAAATAAGCGATAAACTGAAGACTAAAAATACCATTAACCCTTTTTTGGCTTAACCAATCATTGACATAAGTTACATCTTACCTCATTCCCCAACCCAGAAGAAGCTTGTTATTCAATTGACTATTCTCCTAGGTTAGTAGAATCATCAAATCATCTATACAAGCATACCCAGAACCCACCACATTATCAATTCATCATCATCCATCCTGCTTTCCATTAATTCCAACGGTCGTTCCGCTGTCCCCACAGCAGCAGCAGCACTGCCACCGGAAGCAGCAGGGTGTCGAGCATTTAGTCGAACAGCATCTGGAAGGCGGCTTCCAACAACATTGCAGAGGGCAGCAGCATTTCCAACACCCTCCCATGCCGCATCTGATGTTGCAGCAGCGACATTTTATGCACGTGGGAGTAAAACATCTTGGGCATCTCGGGCGCCAGAGTCTAAACCTACAGCAGCGGTGGCGGGTTGATGACTTGGGTTTTAGGTGGAGGTGCTGACGTATTCTTTTGAGACGTAGTTTTGTATTCATGTTCTCCATTTCGTGTATGAACCTGCAAAGATGGCGGATGTAATCAGGGTATAGCTCCAAGTTACAATGTCCGCCCCCTTTAATCCATAAAGGTTCATATGGTTCCCTTGCCAGTTTCCACAGTCCGTCCCCGTGTAACCAGTTCACTACATCATCCTCCGTGCCCTGCAACAAAAAGAACAAAAACAAGCGGCAAAACTTTAGAGAGTTTGAAACTCGGTGAGTAATGCTCCTATCCATCCAAAGAACAACTGCAGAGTAGAGTACAACAAGAGATCAAGATGGAAGTAGAAGGCTACAAACAAAGAAATATGGTGCAAAGAGACTCTTCACTCTCTCCGCCAATGGTTCTATTCGGAAACTTTCCTCTACAGACTACAGTCACTACCATTCCTAAAGAAACTTCTAAGCATGTTGTGTCGTACTTCATGCCGGTAGACTCCCACTTTCTAGTCTGAAGGTGCCTGGTTTATCTTTTATAGTTTCTACCATATTGCCTTCAGTAACAAGCTTTCATCAATTCAACAGATTAGAGCAAATGAATTTGAAGTTTTAACATGGCTATAACATAAGCTCAGTAGCTTAACAATCATTCTGAGTAGAAAATTTCAGCTAAATAATCTCTGACCATTGCATCATCATATGGTCAACTACTTAGAATACCTCCATTCAAGCTTTAAACCTTAAAGAGCATAGTTCAGCATTAAATGCCAATAGATTAGGCATGGGTATAGGTAGTAGAATAGAAGAAGCTTTCCTAGCATAGTACAGCTCCTTCTATCTATAGGTGAGACCTAAGGTTACTGGCTTGATTTGCTTGATCCTCCATTAGATACAAGAGGCTAGGAACGCAAAATCGAACAACGAGTTTATATGCTGGCTTCATTCATTATGATTAGTCAGTTAGACTGTCAACTTCCGTGATTTGAAGATTTGCAACACAAAATCAATAGACTCTTCTTCCTAACTCAGAAGCCACCATAACTGAACTTACTCGATAGTTGATTCAGGTATTGGGAAAGGAAAGAATGTCATCAACCAACGTATGGGAGAAGCAGCATAAGTACAAAAGGAAGATAAGGATAACATACGTGTATCACTAGCACAGGACATTTCACAGCCTGAATTTTGTTGATGTTCTGCATATTCCAAAACAAACAATCCATTAGAGGGCATAGAAAGCACAAATGAGACAGGCTAAGATGTAAAATGGCAGAACAGGTTTCTTACCCTGTATATGTCAAAGCAAAACGCAAAGTTCACATGGCAGAGCACACGTAAACCGGAAAGAATGGCGCTGTGCAAGACTATCCCTCTCAGCCTTGGGAGCTTGGCTGCCAAGTGCAATGTTGGTCCACTACCAACAGATTGTCCGTATAAAATCAGGTCTTCCTGACTAACTCCATACTCCGTCTCGAGGCACTGATACACTGCTTCTATGTCAGCATACGTGTTGGATTCACTTGGCTGCACCATCATGTTAATCCATTAAGAAATTTTCACCAAGTTTTACTGATCTATAGGAAGAAGCTATACTTTAACAGTAACAATGGTCACAAATCAATAATGAACAAGGAAGGGGAAAAAATAGAAAAAGAGAAAAGTTAGTTTGCTGCGAGACATTGTTCTTTCTTTACTTTGGCAATACATGATTTCTGTAAATACATCATATCTCTTGCCCCATTTTTATACAAAAATCAAGCATTGAAGACTCCATGTATTTCCAGAATACATGAAATCCAAATACATCCTCAAAGTTGGCCCTCCCACAATTGTTTGTTTCATGTTTTCCCCTTGTGAAATTGCTGGGCACGCATTAGGATAAAAGGTGTGCTCTATGTTGAGTCCATTTGGGGGGTTTAATTTCCTATTGTACTACAGTATTAAACTTTAACTTTACACTTCGTTGAGTATCGACACAGGATTTTGACAATACAAGCATTCTTAGAAACTCACCTATGGAATGCATGATCTCTTCAAGAATTTGCACAGTTTTATAACAGTGCATCACTGCTAGCTTCCCCTTTCTCATTTCTACAGCTTTTAATTTTATAACCATTTCTAGTAATGTTAATTGGTTGAGAGTTATATCCATGTTAGCAGTACTTCCCTATTCAGAAAAATCCTATGCATCTGCCACGTCAAGACACCATCATTATGAACACAAGTCACATTCCTGTATTAGGAGATAAGGCATGAACAACTTGATAATTTAACATTAGATTAGGGAGAACACTTTACGAACAGCAGCTTACCTTACCAGTGGAGGCTCCATAGCCAGAATAATCGTATCTGCATTTCCAATGGCAGACATAATGATACAATCAGACAAAACAAAAATGAACATACTTAAGCCAGCAGTAAACAACTTAAGCAAAAACTTCAAAGACAAGACATGCGCTGCCCACCTCCTGATTATGGCAAAACTCAATTGTCAAAAAAGATATAAACTTTCTTCTAGATCTGTGTTCTACTGTGGATAAAGTATAAGCACACGCATGAAAAGGGCACAAAAAAGTGTTAAAAGTGGATTTGGTAAAAATCCAATCATGCTTGGGTAAAAAACAAGTAAAGGGGAAGGAAGAAAACCCCATCAATTATCCCTTTGCGTTAGTAATTTTTCCTTTTCACCAATCAAACCAAAAATACAGAAGAAGATAAGATGAGGGAAAGAAAGGTAACTAGGAGGGAAATGTGGAAAGGTGTGGGGAAGGAAGGAAAAAAGACTGTGATAGTGTGATATCAACATGGGGAACTATTCAACCAGTCTTTCTCTACTCTAATGTAATGTCCCTTTCTATTCAACCAGCATTTAAAGCAGAAAAACAAAACTGAAGGAAAAGGAAAGCACGTCACTTAACTTTCCTCCATCTATTTCCACCTAAAATGATCCAAAAATTAAAAGAATCTAATCCAAGAACAACAAGCCGGGCTAATGCCAATGCCAATGCCAATCATACATAAAGATCACAGATCTAAGAACTCCCACCATGCCCCACATAGAGAAAACTTTTAGAAAACTCAATCCACTTCAATTAAAAACCAAGCATTTCACTAAACCCATTCCTCCATAATGCTAATAAACAACACCCATTTCAGCTGACAAGAAAATATGAAATGGGCACTTTCCAGAAAACAGTGCTAATGAGTACTAACCCGATGAGATTAACTCTGAGGTTGACCTTGAGCTGGACAAAGAGGTCGTAGAGCTGACCAAGGTCAGCAGCATTGCCATGAGAGTAAAGCAGAGTGAGCCTTGCATATGGGTTCCTGAGGTAGAAAGCAACGATCTTGTTGCCTCGTTTGGTGTCGATCAACAGCACATCTAAGGAATTGTCGTCGGGGAGAGGCAGAGGAAGTGAGGGAGAAGGGGAAGTGGAGACAACTGTTAGCTTATCACTCCCATTCCCACCACCACCTTCCTTCTTCTTGATCTGGTACGTTGGTGGAGTTGGTGGGAAGAAGGCAAATTTGGCAGCTAGCTGTGATAGCCCGCAACCCATTCAAAGTCACATTCAAAGCTACCTATCCCCCCTCTTTTTTCTTTCTAATGGTGCAAAATAAAGGAACTAACTTTGAGCCATCCGATTTTTCAGTCTGAGACAGAGACAGAGACAGAGAAGGGGGATTTTTCTTCTTCTTCTTCTTCTTCTTGGTTCTGTGCAGAACAAAAAAAAAATGGTGCTTGTGGGCTCTGTTTTTTAGAAGATTCAGAGGGAAATGGAGATAGTGAGAGAGAAAGAGAGATGGAGGTGGAGGTGGGGAAATGGGGTTCTTTCTAGGGTTTATGGGGCAGTGGAGATTTTGTGATGGAAAAAAGGAAGACAAGGTTTTGGAGCTCTCCTGGGAGCTTGCTTGACTGGTAAAAGAGAGAGAGGAGAAGCTATATATTAGGTTGAAGGAAATAAATGAAGTGTGAATGGCGATTGGGAGAGGGAAGAAGGTGAAGTGAGTGTTACGGAGTTTTGGGGTGAAGGAGGGAAAATGATGGGTTTCTTACTTTCTTTTTTGTTTTCTCTCTGAGTCTGAGTGAGCTCAGAGGTTCTGACACTTGCTGTTGTGAGAGTTTTCTGAGGAGGAAAGGAGGGAAGTGTAAAGGTGGCAAACTCTTTACCCCTGCTTCTGTTCTTTTGTTTTTTCCCGTTTGTAAATAAATAAAAAAACAAAACAAAAATGAGTGACATTATTTGGGCTCAACCCAATGCAACGAGCTGATCAGGCCCAGAAGAAAGAAGCCCAACTTCATGGTATCTAGTATCTACTGATACTTATCGATTGCTTCATTTGCTTGTTCCCACGAATTTTCCATTTTGTTTCTTGTTTATTGTTTCAGTTGGATACTTGCGTTCATTCAAACAAAACAAAAAGTGTAAATGTGAATTGTAGAATGCTTTGGGTTCATTCAATGTATTCAATAGTTCATTCAATTACGCAAGACTCATATTACAATTCGTGTAATTCAAATACTGTATTATTAGATTACATGAATCATTATAATGTCAACCTAAACCATATATAATATCTTGAAATTCATGTGTTCAACAGTATATGTTAACCAAACGACTCTCTTTTGGTACCGAATTTTGATATAATCAAACCATAGTGACAACAACATAAAATTATCATCTTTGTCCATGTGAACACGAGCAGACGGATATTGTGAAAAATTATTATCTTTTATATATATCCTCTCCTTCAACCATTCATTATGTAAACTAAGTGAGCATTTTACTCGTCAACTCATGTCATCGCTTCAGCCTTCAGTCCTGCATAACTATCAAAAATGAAATCTATCTTGTTTACTATAACATCATATGCAGTTATAAGAATTTTTTATACATTGTTATAAAACTAATGGAAATGTAAGCAACTACAAGAGAGGATTGGAGGAGGAAAGACACAAAAGAAGTGAGGGGAATAGTCCTTCTTATTCGTACTCAATTTGTGATACAATAGTGTGCTCTATTTATAGGCACCCTTTGGTAACCACTACACCCTTACATCAATGCATATAAATTAGAGATAATAATATAGGAATGGGAGTTACATGTAACTCCCAAGTGAGCATCTAATGTGGTAGGCCATTGGTCATCCAAATATTAATATTTACATAATACTCCCCCTTGGATGACCACTAGATTGCATTATTACGCTATCTCATGCTGCCTCATTAAAAACCTTACCAGGAAAACCCAGTGGGAAAAACCATGGTTAAGGGAAAAAGAGTGCAGCGCGTATATGCTCCCCCTCATGACCACATCAGCTCAAGTCTTTGAGTCGTCGAACTCCAATTTCACGAACAAGCTTTACAAAGATTGTCGTCGGGAGTGACTTGGTGAATAAATCTGCTAGATTCTCACTTGAACGAACCTTTTGAACAATTATTTCACCACTCTTTTGAAGATCATGAGTGAAAAAGAACTTGGGTGGAATATGTTTTGTTCTATCTCCTTTAATATATCCTTCCTTTAATTGAGCAATGCATGCTGCATTATCTTCATACATGATCGTCGGGATCATTTTTCCTAGAGATAGTCCACACGATTCTCTGATGTGTCGAATTATAGATCTTAACCAAACACATTCACGACTTGCCTCGTGAATTGCTAGGATTTCAGCATGATTGGATGATGTGGCTGTTATAGTTTGTTTTGTGGATCGCCACGAAATAGCTGTACCACCACAAGTGAACAAATATCCTGTCTGAGATCTACCATTGTGGGGATCTGAGAGATATCCTGCATCTGCATATCCCACTAAATCCATCTTCGATGCACTCGAATAGAACAAGCCCATATCTGTCGTTCCTCGAAGGTAACGGAGTAAATGTTTAACTCCATTCCAATGTCTTTTAGTGGGAGAAGAGCTATATCTTGCCAATATATTCACAGCAAACGATATATCGGGTCGTGTGTGACTGGCTAGATACATTAATGCTCCTATTGCACTAAGATATGGCACTTCAGGGCCAAGCAGATCTTCATCACTTTCTCGAGGTCTAAATGGATCTCTTTTCACATCAAGTGATCTTACAACCATTGGATTACTCAACGGGTGTGATTTGTCCATATAAAATCGCTTAAGCACCTTTTCAACATATCCTTCTTGATGCACAAAAATACCATCCTTCAAATGTTCAATCTGTAATCCAAGACAAAACTTTGTTCTTCCTAAATCTTTCATTTCAAACTCTTTCTTCAAGCAATCAACTGCTTTTGGAAGCTCTTCGGGAGTTCCAATGATGTTTATGTCATCAACATAAACTGATATTATAACAAACTCACTACCCGATCTCTTTAGAAAAACACATGGACAAATAGGGTCATTCGTGTATCCTTCTTTCATCAAATATTCACTGAGACGATTGTACCACATTCGTCCAGATTGTTTTAATCCATACAAGGATTTGTTCAATTTGATAGAAAAATTTTCTCGAGAATGTGTTTTGTTCGCTTCTGGCAAAGTGAATCCTTCAGGGAGTTTCATATATATATCATTCTCAAGTGATCCATACAAATAGGCTGTCACAACATCCATTAGACGCAGATCTAGTCCTTCTCGAACTGCTAGACTAATCAAGTATCGAAACGTAGTTGCATCCACCACAGGGGAGTATGTCTCCTCATAATCAATGCCAGGTCTCTGTGAGAATCCTTGTGCGACAAGACGTGCTTTATATCTCACGACTTCACCTTTTTCATTTCTTTTCCGCACAAAAACCCATTTGTATCCCACTGGCTTTACGTTTTCTGGTGTAAGGACTACCGGTCCAAAAACCTTTCGCTTTGAAAGAGAGTTTAATTCTGCCTCAATGGCCTCTTTCCACTTTGGCCAATCATCTCTTGACTTGCATTCATCAATAGATCTTGGTTCATGATCCTCATTTTCATTCATCACACTCAACGCTGCAGCGTAAGCAAAAACATCGTCGACGATTATTTTACTTCGATTCCAACATTTTCCATCCAAGACATAATTGATTGAGATCTCTTCATTATCAAAACTTTCAGGTACCTGATGTTCTTCGGGAACTACAATCTTAGTTATGCTCGGGGACTTTTCTTGACCTTTCATATCCTCGATTTGACCAACTTGATTCATGGCTCCTTTTCTTTTTCGAGGATTTTTATCCTTGGAACCTACTGGTCTACCACGCTTCATTCGTGGTTTAGATTCATTTGCAATTTCAGATTGTCCAACAGGGACATCAACTTTCACTGGAGCATTTACAGCTGGTATGTGTGACTTTGTCACTCTCTTCTGGTCAGTAAAAGAATCCGGCAGTTGGTTTGCTAAACCTTGTAAATGAATTATCTTTTGAACTTCCAGTTCACATTGTCTAGTACGAGGATCAAGGTGAGATAATGATAATTCATTCCAACAAATATCTTTTCCCAGCTGTTTGCTCTCACCCCCTAATGTTGGAAAAACTGATTCGTCAAAATGACAATCAGCAAAACGAGCAGTGAATAAATCTCCCGTCAAGGGTTCTAAGTATTTTATGATTGACGGGGACTCATATCCAACATAAATTCCCAACCTCCTTTGAGGACCCATCTTAACACGCTGTGGTGGAGCAATAGGGATGTAGACGGCACACCCAAATATTTTTAGATGGGAAATATTAGGTTCCTGACCAAAAACCATTTGCAAGGGGGAAATTTCATGATAACTTGTTGGCCTTATGCGAATTAATGTTGCCGCATGCAATATAGCATGTCCCCAACAAGAAATTGGCAAGCTTGTTTTCATAAGCAATGGTCTTGCAATAAGTTGCAAACGCTTAATAAATGATTCTGCAAGGCCATTTTGTGTATGAACATGTGCTACAGGATGTTCAACATCAATGCCAGTGGACATACAATAGTCATTGAAAGTTTGTGAAGTAAATTCACCAGCATTATCTAGACGTATTTTCTTGATTGGAAAATCAGGAAAATGTGCTCGTAGTCGTATCAATTGGGCAAGTAATCTAGCAAACGCCAGGTTGCGAGTTGATAGTAAGCACACATGTGACCATCTAGTTGATGCATCAACTAAAACCATAAAATATCTAAATGGTCCACATGGTGGGTGAATTGGCCCGCATATATCACCCTGTATACGTTCTAAAAATGTGAGAGATTCACTCCTTACTTTCACAGGTGATGGCCGTATAATCAACTTGCCACGAGAACATGCAACACATGGTACATCTTTAAACTGATAAATTTTGTGACCTTTCAATGGATGTCCACATGTATTGGCAATGATTTTTCGCATCATAATCAATCCGGGATGGCCTAACCGGTCATGCCAAACTATAAAATTATCAAGATTTGTAAACTTCTGGTTTACCACTGCATGTGTTTCAATTGTACTAATAAACGTGTAGTACAACCCAGAAGAAATAGCAGGCAATTTCTCCAATATGTGTTTTTTATCGGAGACCATATTTGTTATCATAATATACTCTTTATTCTCTTCTTCCTTTGTCTCAATATGATATCCATTTCGGCGAATATCTTTGTAACTCAATAAATTTCTTTGAGACTTTGAAGAGTATAAGGCTTCATTGATATACAACTTGGTCCCTTCTGGTAACAATACACTAGCTCTTCCGGAGCCTTCAATTAGATTTGTACTTCCAGATATAGTACTAACATTTGCTTCTCGCATTTCAAGATGAGAAAAATATTTCTTATCCTTCAAGATTGTATGTGTCGATGCACTATCAATAAGACACACATCATGGTTTTTTATCTTGGTGCCAAGCATGGGAATATTCATTCTTCACAAAAGATATAAAGTAAATCAATATAAGAAAATATCTCCAAACAAATATAAAAATAATAACATGATTATAATAGATGAAATTTAACCACATAAGGATTATAAAGAGAAATTATATTAAACTGACACATTAATAGGAAAAACACACTCAAGGAAAACGACAAAGAAAGTGAAATTTCAAATGGGAAACCCAAACTTTTCACTTGTGAACAAAGCGACAACGAAATAGAAATTTCAAATGGAAATGCTAAGTTTTTCACTTGCGAACATTCCCATCACCAATCAGGTGATCTATTTTTCCTTCAGGGTGGGCAAAGAAGTCGGACACATCTAGATGAGTAGCATCATTATAGTCTTTTCCTGAATCATCTTCCTCAAAAATACAATTGGTTTCTATCTTCTTCCCTTTCAATGATTCTTGGTAGAGGTTAACCAAGTGTTTTGGCGTACGACAGGTACGAGACCAATGACCTTTTCCACCACAACGGTAACACACATTTTCGACGTGTTTGTTACCATGAACACTTTGTTCCTTGCTTCTCCTACCATCATTTTTTCCACTTCTGGGGAAAAATGAGCTTTTGGAACTTTCACCACGACCATTACCACGACCAAGATCTCGGCCACGGCCACGACCTCGAGCATGAGCATGACCACGCCCACGTCCTCGTCCATGTCCACGTCCATGTATTTGCCCATAAGGATATTGGGTGAACGTCGCCGCATTCGCTTCTGGGAATGGGGCGGCACCAGTAGGACGAGATTGGTGATTTTTCATTAGGAGCTCATTATTTTGTTCAGCAACAAGGAGACAAGAAATCAGCTCAGAATATTTCTTGAAACCTTTCTCACGGTATTGCTGCTGCAGGAGCACATTGGATGCATGAAAAGTGGAGAATGTTTTTTCCAACATATCTTCATCAGTAATATTTTCTCCACATAACAGTAGTTGTGAGGTTATTTTGAATAGCTCCGAATTATAATCACTCATAGATTTAAAATCTTGTAACCTCAAATGCATCCAATCATAACGAGCCTTAGGAAGAATCACAGTCTTTTGGTGGTCATACCGCTCCTTCAAATTAGTCCACAAAATAAGTGGATCTTTGACCGTAAGATACTCATTCTTCAATCCCTCGTGGAGGTGATGTCGAAGAAAGATCATTGCTTTAGCTTTGTCTTGATCTGATGCTTCATTGCCCTCTTTAATCGTGTCTCCAAGACCGTTGGCAGCTAAATGAATTTCAGCATCTAGCACCCATGATAGGTAATTCTTTCCAGTGACATCAAGAGCCACAAACTCAAGCTTTGAAAGGTTCGACATACTATCATAAAAAATATACACAAATTAAAGTCAAAATTCAATAAATAAATATAGATTACTATCAAGACAAACGACTTATGTGACCCATGATATATCAATTTGATATTTTTACAAATATATAAATAAATTCGAATTTCAAAATAAAAAAATATTAAGAAGGAAATTATACCTTTGCATTCTCAAACAAAGATTTCATGTGTTGATTAATAAATGAAATTATGTAAATTGAAATAGGACAATAAAAGAAACAATTTGGGAGAATTGACATACCTTGAGCAGAACAATTGTGAATTTAACCTTTTCAAAAGGAAGAGTCTCGTGCTGATAACGTGTTATAAAACTAATGGAAATGTAAGCAACTACAAGAGAGGATTGGAGGAGGAAAGACACAAAAGAAGTGAGGGGAATAGTCCTTCTTATTCGTACTCAATTTGTGATACAATAGTGTGCTCTATTTACAGGCACCCTTTGGTAACCACTACACCCTTACATCAATGCATATAAATTAGAGATAATAATATAGGAATGGGAGTTACATGTAACTCCCAAGTGAGCATCTAATGTGGTAGGCCATTGGTCATCCAAATATTAATATTTACATAATATACATAAGGGTGCTATAGATTTTAATTTTTTGTTGTGATTAAGTATTACTTGAATAATTCAAACCTATGACTTCTTGATTAAAATTGGTGATATTATCAGTAGATCAACCTCTTGTTCGTGTAGTTATAAATAAGAATTTTTAAGACACTTATTCAAATACATCAAACATTTGAATAATTGAACTACTTAAGGATTTTTTTTAATCTTAAGACATGACATGATTATTCAAAGATGTTGCATCACTTGTAAAAACCAGCAAAATCTCGTCTGAAATGCGATCAAAGAGGGCACATTTAGATTCTAAGAACCTTGCCACGTGTGGACAAACAAAGGGTAATTTACTAATTACAACGGGATACAAATTCGACAACTTTAACTTTCATCACACCCTGTTCAAGAAAAAACCAAATCTTACTTCTGCACACTCTCCCTGCTGCCCACACGTTTTTAACTTTTTTTTTTTTTTTTACTGAATTAGATTAAATGTACCTAGACTAAGGTTTCTCATTGTCACTTAATTTCAAACACTAATCAAACACAAAAAGGAGGAAAGTTGCCAAACAAACATAAAGGCAAAAAAGCCAATCTCTTTTCAGTTTTCCCCTCGTCAGTATGAAGGAACAAAACAACTTATATTAAACGCCCCAAAATTGGAATGCATGCTTAATCATGTGTAATGTGGCAGGAGGAACAAAAAACTAACATTATTATTGTTAGTGTCCGATCTTCCCAGAAAGTTTTTGGCTTCATTTGTCGCACCCCGACATCATTATTGCGTCTTCCAGGAAACTTAATCAATAATCACCGCCATGTTTCTGTTTCTGTTTAAGTGCAAAGTCTTCTGTTATGAACTTCAAATCTCACTCTCCTTAATCACAAAAAAATAGCATTATAATTTATAGGACAAAGAAAATATATTAGCCATAACTATTAAGCTGCGGAGAATTATAGAACAATTATCAAAATACAAATTATTAGCCAATCGTTAAGTTTTTGTTAACACTTTTGTTAGTAATGATGACTAAGCTTTTACGATGGTGAGCTGGCTCCCACGTGGCAGTCATCATATCATATTTTTTACTAAAACTGACATGGCCTTCTCCGTTAAAAATTTGAAAACAGTAACGGCTGTTAGCCAAATCTTGACCCGCAACAATAGTTATGGCTAATAATTTGTATTTCGATAGTTGTGGCTATAATTCTCCGCTACTTAATAGTTATGGCTAATATATTGTATTCACCCTAATTTATAAGTGGTAACAATTCCGATCTAATAGGTTTGTTTTGACATGTTTTGAATGCCAACTTGTTCATGACAGATGATTAGTAACGATTTTGAAAAAGACACGATTCAACTTAATACACTTGAAGAATTTGTCTTGAAGAATTTGTCTTGCAGTTTTCAATACACTTGAAGAATTTGTCTTCACTAACCTTATGCGAATCAAATCATTGATAAACTTGATTTCAATACACATATTTTAATAGATTGGCCTAGTCCATACATGAAACCAAACCACTCAACTTAACTAGCATATGATTTGATGCAATTATGAATATTAGGATACTCATCCGACATATCCAAGGCACATTCCTATTCTCGTTCAATTTACTTAATGTTATAATTGACAAATGAGGTTGGACCTTTTAAAAGAGGAAGGAAACCAAGGGAGTGTTAGAAAGTAAAGTAAAATGGTTGTTAAGAATGGGAAATTTGGATGGCTATCAACCATGAAAATGAAGGTATATTTTTTTAATATTTATATTTTTATATCTTTGAGCATATTCAACGAGGTTTGGGGTAAAGCACGGATGCAAATACAATTACAAGGGTTGATACGAAGGCAGTAGCAAACGTAACAACAGAAACCACATTTGTATGGCTCATAATCCCACATGGTATTTTCCACACAACATCTGTTCTCAGTCTGTTGCTGTCATGGCTTGGCACAATCAAGCAACTTCTCATCTCTGAGCCTCCTTCCATGCTGCAATTCACGAGCAAATCCGGCATACCAAATGCTACTTCTGAGTATCCGCTTTCATGCAACGGCTGCAATTCCAGAATGGACACATTTGATCATGTTTGATTGTTCAATTAAGGATGAGAAAGTTTGAGCTTTACCGCATAACGGGCATGTAATGGGAGGTCTATTCTGATTCCAAGTTCTGACATGGCTCCGGATGAAATGTTGTGCTCGAAATTCATGTGAATCTCCACTGCAGACCTATTTGAGGAAACCGAAGGCAACTCCAAATTTGTATCTCCGAAGACACCTATGCCAGCATATGCTGGATAAACCAAGCGTGAGAATGAGCTAATCCACGAGGAAAGATAAGTAGAGAGACTTGCAGTTGTTAGTTCCTAACAAATTATGATTACCTCCATGATGGAACAGGTGGTCGAGCTCGAATGGATCAGCAAAGACTCCAGAGGGCAGTCTTTCAATCATTACAAGCTTGCAAGACTGAAGAGGGAAGCTTTGCGGAGGGACTTGAATCTGGATTGTTGAAGATAGATGGCGATGAGAGCCTTCCCCAATCAAACGACGCTCCAAACCAGATAGTGTGAGTTGAAGGTTGGGATCGCCGGGTAGCATTTTACATGAGAACTTCGAGAGCTCATCTTGTAGGAGATCTTGGAAGCTAGAATCAGTAAGAACTTCGTATTTTGAGAAATAAGACTTCAGTATAAAATCCTGAAAAAACACGGTTATCATCAGAGAAGAACTCAGTTCAGTCCATGATGTATTAGGACAGCAATTGAAGAAGCGAAAATGCCACTGCTTCATTAAGAAGACATGAAAGGTAGAAGGAAGAAAGTTTCGTAGGTAACTATGATGGTGATATTCATTTCACATCAGAATTTTAGCCAATGCAGGGACGGGATTAAAATGAAGTCCTATGACGACTCGCCAAGGTAATGGAGGGTGTTATATCTCTGAATCCTACCAGCAACGCATAGATATCGTAGTTCCCATTTCTTATGAAAACCAGCAAGCATGATTCTACCTTGAAACTTGGCCATACAAAGGGAAGAACCGGATGAGATTCATGGTTTCAAGGTAGCACAACATATTATCACCAACCTCCAAAGACAAACAGTCGCCACTAATGGACAGAGATAGAACAGTGAAGCAGCAACAGAAGAAAAATCTCCATATGATACCCATTTCCAACGCCTGCAAGTCCACCCTACTATTCTCATGGCAATTGAGAAAAGGTAGGGAGGAAAAGAAAGTCAGCAACTCACCAACTAAGATAGTGTAATCTGAATTCAACTTGTAATGCAGAAACAATTGGACCAATCATACTGCCAGCAAATGAGAGTACTTAAACAGTGTTTAGCAGGAAACTTCAAGCAAAAACCTAGAATTAGGAAGCAATTGCTTCTGCTTCATCTAAGAAAAAGCAAAGCTGCTTGCTCAATCGAGAAAACCATAACTCCAATGAGAAAGACTGCAGAAATCTATACAACCCACTGAGCAAATTGAGAACTTAAGTCAGATCCAAATGCCAGGTCGACACGAGTTGCAGCAATTCGAACGCAGAGTCAACTGAGATCAGACAATACGGTAAAATGGCGCATCCCTCAAACACCCAGCAAAGAAAACACAAGGAAGTAGAGCAATGAGGAAGACCAACTTACAGAGCAAGGCATCATCTTTTCCGTTCCTTTAGAACGGATATGAGAGATCAGACGAAAAAGTAGAAATCTTTACCAAGCGAAGTGCGAATCTCCCAACGAGCAATGGCATCGTCTCCCTCTGGTTTGTTATTTTATTTTCCAGGGAGGAGTTGGGCTTTTTTTCCACTCCTGAGCCCATTTAAGCAACAAAAGTAGTAACAGAATAAAACCCCGCGAAAAAAGCAGCCGTCTTTTCTGTAGTCAAAATCTCGATCTCCTGCGTTCCATCTCAGGCTCCACCGTCGACGGCGCTTCAGTTCGTCCGTTGTCGTCAGCCGAGTTCTCCATCTCCGTCTATCGCCGCCCGCCGCCGGTCAAGGTCCTTCTGGGCTGCGTCCTTCTGGGCTGCCGCCCGCCCGTCATAGTGTCATTCGAGGTAACATAGGTTTATGTTCGCTAGTTTATCACAGCAGAATGAGGATTGAAAATTTGTATTTGATTTCCAAAGATTTTAACTTTGTTGCCATGGATATCCAATCTGACTAGCTTCAGCTGGAACAGACATGGAAAACGGCGGCATCCCTTCATCCGTGCACGCAACCGTGTTCAAACAATCGGAGTCTCTCGAGGGGAAAGGCCATGAGATCAAAGGCTACGACTTTAACCAAGGCGTGGACTACCATCAGCTGCTTAAATCAATGGTCTCAACTGGGTTCCAAGCTTCCAATCTCGGCGAAGCTATTTCAGTTGTTAATCAGATGGTCTGGCTTTGATACCCTACTACTAGTAGTCAGACACTTTACCTTTTCCCTTAATTTGATAGTCTAGTCTTATCATTTGTGCTTTTATTTTACTATTGGCCTTGAAGTTAGACTGGAGGCTTGCTGACGAGGCCATTGCTGAAGATTGCAGTGAAGAAGAGAAGGACCCTGCGCATAGAGAGTCAGTGAGGTGCAAGATTTTCTTGGGGTTCACCTCAAATTTGATCTCTTCCGGCGTTAGAGATACAGTTCGTTATCTCCTTCAGCATCACATGGTGCGGAAAGGGATTTTTACTTCTTTCCTTTAGTGTCCTATGTGATACATATAAGCGAGTTTGGGGACCAAATTGGTGTTTAACAACCTTTGATGTTTTTTGCTCTGTGAGATTAGATGGACGAATTCGCTCTGGTGATGGTTGTTGTTTCTGAATATTGCTCTTTCTTGAGCACCTTAAACTTTGCTTGTAGTGAACGAGAAGATAATGTTGCTGAAAATTTGCTGCAGGTTGATGTGGTGGTCACAACTGCAGGTGGCATAGAAGAAGACCTTATCAAATGCCTAGCCCCGACTTACAGAGGGGACTTCTCTTTACCTGGCGCTCAACTACGTGCAAAAGGGTTGAATCGCATTGGCAACTTGTTAGTTCCTAATGATAACTACTGCAAGTTTGAGGACTGGGTTATTCCCATTTTTGACCAGATGTTAAAAGAACAAACTGAAAATGTATGGCTTTTGCTCATGTTGGCTTTATCCATTTCAGCTGAGTGAGAATCTTACAGCTTCCTTCTTCTGTTTGATAGAATACTCTATGGACGCCATCGAAGTTAATTGCTAGACTCGGGAAAGAGATTAAATGTGAAAGCTCATACCTTTATTGGGCATACAAGGTAACAAGCTAGTATTTCTTGATTTTCCAATACTTGGATTTTCCCCTTTTTGGATCATATTTGTTAGTTTTTTCCATCTTCTCCAGAACAACATTCCAGTGTTTTGTCCTGGATTAACTGACGGTTCACTTGGGGACATGCTGTACTTTCATTCCTTCCGCAATCCAGGATTGATTGTGGACATAGTTCAAGGTAAGAGTCTCCTGGCTCAATATCTTACTTATATCAGTTATCCATGGCCTCCATTTGCTTCTTTCAGTTGAACATCCTTGGGACAAGTTGGGTACAAGAGCCAATATAAGCCATTGAACTGTTTTGATTGGAGAAGTAATGAGAGTACCTTTCAAATAGGGGTGTCCATTCGGGTTCGATTTTTCGGGTTTATCCGATACCGACCCGATTAGATACATTTTCGGTTTTTCGGGTTCGGGTTTCGGATTTTTCGGTTTCGGGTTCGGTTTTGCTTATCGGTTTTTCGGGTTTCGGCTGAAAACCTTCAAAAATAGCACTCAACCTGTACTTTTAGGTGTTCGGGTTTGCTTTAACCGAACCCGATAAGGCATTTTCGGGTTTCGGGTAACCGGAAACGGAAAGTCATTATTGGGTTCGGTTTTCAGTTGTTTCGGTTCGAGTAACCGAACCTGACCCGAACGGACACCCCTAGCGGAGGATGCTATCTGTTAATGAACCCACCACGTTTCATGTTGGTGTTATGAATTGGTTAAAATTACCTCGAGACAAATTGAGTTCTGAAGATTACATAACATGCATTTTATTGGGGGGTACAGATATCAGGTCCATGAATGGGGAAGCTGTTCATGCAACTCCAAGAAAAACGGGGATAATTGTTCTTGGAGGTGGGCTTCCCAAGCACCACATATGCAATGCCAATATGATGCGGAACGGTGCAGATTATGCTGTTTTCGTCAACACAGCTCAGGAGTTTGATGGGAGTGATTCTGGAGCTCAGCCTGACGAGGCTGTTTCTTGGGGGAAAATACGAGGCTCTGCTAAAACAGTAAAGGTATTATCTTCTCTTGTGTGCTCCTTTTGCTGATGACCTTGCTTTCACTTGTTTTTTTGGGCTGCTCAAATGATGAGATATATGCTATGAGCTGTTTCATTCGATGCAATTCTATTACAGGTTAGATGTCTATGTGGCTGTTGCATCTGTAACAAAACAAGCCCTAAAAAAACATTGTAACAATGCCAACTAAACTAGGGGATTGTTCGCAAAGTAGTCATTTTATCACAATTAGTTAGATTGCCTTAGCTTGCCAAACAGGCGTGTCATGTCTCCATAATGGAACAATCAGTGCCCTTATGCAGTGCACCCACTGGGCCCTCAGCTCTCGAAACTGACTCCCAACTCCCTGGAAACACATGAACCTGTGATCAAAATCATTCTCGAATTAGAAAGAGTTGGGTCCAGCTGGTGCTTGGGGTGCCCGATTGGGCGACTTTGGTGACGTGAGCCTATTTGATATGCTGACTTAACAGGACTCGTTGTCAGATTGGACAAAGATGAAACAGATTGAATCTTTGGTTAGGATTATGGTGAATATTTTGTATGGTTTTCAATCTAATGATCATTTTGTTACAAACTTCATAATTCAGTAACCATTTAGACTTTAGTCTTTAACCCTCACTGTTGCGCTACGTTTTCCATCATGATCTTGGAGTTTCCTTCTATCGACTGGTGAAGCTATATAACGATGATTTTGGCTGATCTCTCCCTGGTTTTTTGAACTGAAGGTTCATTGTGATGCAACGATTGCTTTCCCGCTGCTAGTTGCTGAGTCGTTTGCTGCAAGGCGAGACAGAACCATGAAGACAGGAACTTGATTAATGGTGGCTACTTGCAGTTAGTTGACAAAGTTGGCGGAGATTCAAGATCAACTTACCTTACCCATTTGAAGGTTAAGCGTCTATAGTTCTACACAGAACATGTGTGACTGGGAACAACAGCATTGCTGGATTGTTCTACTGGCAGAGTTACAATAGCCATATTATGATCCGGAGGCGCAACGTTTGTAAATTGACTTCAGTAGAATTGAAACTCAAACTGTGGCTTAACCCCAACTGGTAGAATATTGTGAGCTGCCTTCCAGAGAAATATCTTCAGCTTTCCAAGTACATTTAATTTCGACAACTTCTAATTCATTTTTCATCTCATTGTTTTGCTTATTGATCAACGTAGTATCTAGTTTTCACCGTATATTTTCATTCTCGCTTCCTGTTGCACAAAGTTTATCCTTTTGTATTGTTGCTGGTAAGGGGAATCGCCAGAATGGCTTCTGGTTCCTCAAGAGTGAAGATCAGTTCCAGAAAGTCTCTTACTCCTACTTCTAGTATTTTGATCTATCAAGCAGGAGACCTTGGCTTCCATATCTATGAAAGGGCTTATATGATATGACTTGGAAATGGAGATGATTAGCACCTCCTTTCCTTGCAGTGGAGATGAAATTCCATTTCTAATCCTTTAGCTTCTTTCTCGCTTTCTCTTTAATTCATGTGAAGATTACCTTCTTAGATTTCCCAACCATGGACAGTAGTCCAAGGTATTTCTCGTGTTAATTAACTTCTCTAATCCCCCGGATGCAGCGTTGTTCAGCATAACCTTTTCTATAAAGTTTCATTCAATGCCGTCATATGCTTTCGTCATATCAAATTGGCTTAATACCCATTTTGGCCCAAAATTTGGCGTTAGTGACGATTTTGGCCCCAATTTTCGAATATTACACTTTTGGCCAAATTTTCAAATTTACGGACGTATTTCGCCCGTGTTACGTTTTTACCGTCAGAAATGACGGTGAACTAATTTCCCCATAAGTGAGTCAGCAACATTTGCTGACTCGGAGCACCACGTCATTAACTAAATAATAAATAAAAAAACCCGACCGCTCCTTATCTTTTCCCCCAATTGCTATTTGCTTCCGTCTCCACACACCCATCGCGAGCGCCAGTCTACCCTCCTCCACCCAGCGCGAGCGCCGCCATCATTGGCCGTCCCCCACCTCCACCGAGCGCGAGCGCCGCCGCCGTTGGTCGGCTTCCTTCCATCACGGGAGACCCTCGTCGCCGCCTAGACCTCGTCGCCCTTCGTCGTCGCCATCGCAATCTTTCTTCGTCGCCGCCCAGACCTCGTCCCCATCCTTCACAATCTTTCTTCGTCGCCGCCCAGACCTTCGTCGTCGCCATCCTTCGCAATATTTCTTCGTCGCCTCCCCTCCCCAATCGAGCTATTTACCTATTGTTCTCACCATACCCGACAGGTGAGGAAGGAAACATGTCATATTTTAAGAAGGGAGGTAAATCCGAAATTGCAAGTTCAGGCGCTTCAAGTTCTACCAACAGACATGTGGAGAGATGCAACAACAATGTTCCGTGCATTGTGAAAAGGTCTAGGACAGCAGATAATCCGGGGAGATTGTTCTATTTCTGTCCATATTGGTAGGTATGATGATTTTCGATCTGTTCTTGCATTCTTGTTGTCGAAATCCCGGTATTAAGTATTCATTTGAATTCTGGTCATGTAGGATACCAAAAAGAATTGTAAGTACTTCAAGTGGGTTGGTCAGCGGACATCGGCAAGCGATATAGATGGTTTGATAGAGGAGAATGAACAGTTGAAGTCAAGATTGGTTGAGATGGAAGTAGAGATGGAGAACTTATCTTCACGATTTGAAGGTCAAATTGAACAAACTGAAGAGAAGGCCAACAAGACGAAGAAACAAAAGTTATATATGGCTGAAGAGTTGGCAAAGTTTGCAGATATCAGTACTCGTAATTGTGTTGAATTGCAGAAAATGCGACATACTGTGTGTGCACTGCAGAGTAGGATTACTACTTTTTGTATCGCTATTAGCTTCTTCTGTGTTATTTGGTATGTTAGTTGGTTGGTCCGTAGCTAAACCGATGGTTTGTGATTGGTTTGTGATGGTGTTTAGAGTTGGTTTAGAAGTAGCTACTCATGTTAAATGCTTTGTGTGAGTCTATGTTAATGCTTGTACGGTAAGCTTTGTGTGAGTCTATGTAACAGAAGAACATCTCCACTGTATTTTCTGAATGATCAGCTTGCTTCTACCATTAACTTCATTCCGAAACATGGATACTGTATGTTCACAATACATGAGTTCAAATTTCCACCATTCACTTCAATCCGAAACTACTTGTTCTAAATACAGAGCAAGGAAGGAAATACTAGACCCCTATATTTAGTTCAAATTCCCACATACATGGCTACAGCCTACTGCATGTTCAAAATACAAAAGAAGGGAATTGACATTGATGCTTCAAACACAGACTACTGTGTCCCGGGTTGAGAGGCTGGAGGCGGTGTGCTATTCATTGGCGGCTGATCTGGTCCAGTTGGTTGGCTCCTACGTCCTTCTTGTGGAACCCTTGTACTTAGCTGCAATAGTACATATGGTTAGAAACATTTAAAGCAAGAGAATAAACAGAAAATACAATGTGATGGTCGAATCCTACCCGAGAATACATGTTCCCAGTATGAGGATCAATGTAGGTGCTGATTCCTTGCATAGCCCTCCTCACCTCCCGCTCCATGACTTGTCGGCTACAATTTCCCATGCTTTCAATCTGCAATTCACTCTAATTAGTAATTAGACACTAAGCTGAAATATACAACGCCCAAGTTGTTCTTTCAATATTTGCAAGAACCATGTCCACGAACTCCCGTTTTCAGACTCAACGACTGCCCATGCTATCGGGTACATGTGGTTGTTTCCGTCTTTTCCAACAACACTAAGTAACATCCCTTTGAACTCCCCTTTCAAGAAGCACCCATCTAGAAAGAAGAAAGGCCTACAGCCCTCCAAGAATCCACGACACACGCTTGAAAAACCAACATAGAATCTCTTGAAGAATACATTATCGGATCCTGGGTCCAAATCCACCTCTAGCCGGAAGGTTCCATCCGGGTCAACTCGCTGTAGATGACCTATATATGACCGAATCCGATTGAAATCTTCTTGTAAGGAGCCATGGAGAATGCGTCGAGCTTCTATCCGAGCTCGGTAACAGATTTTCCGTGTCACCTCCACATTGTACTTCTGATTTATCTCAGCCGCCATGAGATTCGCATCCCAATCTTGCTCCACTCTAAACCGATCTAGAAATTGAGTAGCTATCCACTTCGAAGTAGCACCTCGAATGCGAAAAGTACGCGGACAATCATGAGGAGTCCCAACACCTTTCACCATAAAAGTCTCCCTCTTCCCATACCAACTTGCATACACCCTCCAGCCACACTTTTGGGCACACACAGCTTCTTTTCTCTTCTCACTGCTGCACACCCATCTAATATCAGCTCCAATCTCGATTGAATGCTTTTGTAATAGCTTCTTGAAACTGCGTGGGACTAGCAAACCTCATATGTGTGGTAATTGAAAGTGTTTTATGATCACAATTTGGATCATAAAATCGACACTTGTCGATCATAGACACCTCTTCTTCTTCATCCAAATTTCCCCTCACATGATTTGAGTCCTCAGAACCCCTATAGATAGAAGTTTCACTCCCTTCAACTTCAACATCAACATCATCCATGTTATCTGTTCGCTGTCCCTCCCCTGCATTTTCTTCCTCGTTCACAGTAGGCTGTACCTCTGGCTGCTCCTGCTCTGGCTCTTCATCCTCCTGCTGCACACTCGGTTGTACCTCATTTTCATCTACAAATACTAGGCCGACCTCTTCCCCCGATCCAGTCGCCTTGACATGCATTACTGTCTCATGAGACGAAAATGGGCCCTAATCTCATGATATTCTTCATCTTAAGTCTGAGCTTCATAATCATCTAACCGGATGAACTCTGCAACGCCTGAGTTGTCGCCTTCCTCGTCTGCAACATCTTCACTATTCCCATAGTTGTCCCCATTTCACTGAGAAACTTGGTTGCTTCAAAAAACACCACCACCTCCCCTAGCTCGGCATCTCCAAGTAACCTATTCATCACATCAGAATCATTGGCAATCTCGTGCAAACCATCCTCCATGCTCTGTCCCGGAGTCAAATACCACATCTTCTCAACCGACAAGTAATCGAAATTCTGAATCAAAATACTCACAAGCTCAAAGTACGACATAACATCAACTGCCACATCAACCCGATCTTCAACACCACCTACATACTTTGGAACCACTTCTGATGTATCCAGCATACCCCCATGACGAAGCACAAGTAGAATGCTCATTCTGTACAATATGAACAAATTAGGTTATATATTAGTGGACGAATTGTTTATGGTCTCTTTATGGTTAACAAAGCATAAACAAGACAAACACATACAAACAGCCAATTTTAAACTACTTTCACGTGTTTCATATTCACTAATTCAAAAAGAGCACAAAAGGCAATTCTTTATTGAGTGCGGCGACTTTCCCAAAATCGAAAATCTTAAACACTAGAAAACAACAGCAAGATCGTTACCTGTATATATGAAAAACCGATCTTCGTGGATGTGGTCCCGACCTCAACTTGTCCCACAAAAAGAAGACGGCGAACAATAGCTTTTCTCTCCAACAGAAGGCAGGACAGGGAAAAACACTTGGGCGAAGGGGGGAGACGAATCGCCGGCTACTAAAGGAAGAGTCAGGGATCGCGCCACCGACTGGAGATTCACTGGCCGTGCGATCGCTGTTGTTTGCTTCTAGGTCGGAGTTCGTCGATCAGCGGGGGAAGGCAGATTCGTCAAAAACAGAAAGGAAAAGATAGGGAAGGACAGGGAAAGAAGGGGAAGGAGATGAATCATCTCCGCGCCGGCAGAGATTCACCGGGCGCGCAATCAATCGACGCTAATTCCTGGTCGGATTTCGTCGATAGGGTGGGGTTGCATTGAACGATGAAGAGAATGAAGGGGAATGAAAGGGAAAGGTGGGGGAGGAAGGGGAACTGTCGGGTTTTGTTTTTTATTTTTTTATTTAGTTAATGACGTGGCACTCCGAGTCAGCAAATGTTGCTGACTCACTTACGGGGAAATTAGTTTACCGTCATTTCTGACGGTAAAAACGTAACACGGGCCAAATACGTCTGTAAATTTGAAAATTTGTCCAAAAGAGTAATATTCGAAAATTGGGGCCAACATCGTCACTAACGCCAAACTTCGGGCCAAAAGTGTATTAAGCCTATCAAATTTGACAGCCAAATTTCATAGATAATATCATAAAAAAACTATTCAACCTATTTGCCAACACCTTCGATATTATGTTGAAGATCACCATGCATAGCCTTGTTGGCCATAACTTGTTTGGCAGTAAAGTCTTTTTAGCACTAGCGATAATAAACTATTAGCATATGATAGATTTCTTGGGAAAAATATTCCCTCCCCAGAAAATTGATAGCAGCGGCGGATCCATGACCTACAAGAGTGTTGTGCTGCATTTGAATAGAATATTAGATGCCGTAAAAAACAATATATAATAACTATAGTTTTCATTGCAATGTCAATCATACAAGTTGGTCTTTTAATTAAGAAAATTTATCAATAATAGAATCTTCATTCATACCAATAGTATACTTTCTCACACAAATATGTTTTCACATGTTTCATTGCTAAAAATGTTCTTTTCGTAGTAGCCGTTGAAACGGCAAGGTCAACACTAGGCGAATCAACCGACAAATTAATTTGTATTGTTGTCCATCCCTGTTTCCGCCAACCTCACTAGCAATTTTGCAAGGGAAGTAACTTTATATTCATGACTATGAACCACATGAGCGACATAATATCGTAGCTAATTTTTCAAAGAATGCACCTTATCATAGCCTTCAAAGTATCGAAGCTAATCTCATGAGCAAGTTTGTAAATATTTTCTTCATCAAAAGACTGAAAGAACTGTTAGTATCTAATGCACCACTCAACTGAAGCAATCTAAATGATGAATCTACAAGTTTTTAAATATTTTATTAATCAGAAGACTCAAAAGAAAACTAGCTCTCGGAGGACTAGTGGAGGAATTCGTTCGTTTCCTCATTCTTGTTTTGTTTTGAGAGGATTGAGGAATTTTTTTGAGTTTTGACAGGGAAAGGTGAACTTTAATTTAAAGTTTTTTTTTATAACAATGAAACTTTATACTTTTAGGGTTGGATATGTTCATCTAGACCATTTTTCTAGTTACACAAACTTTTATTATCAAATAACAATGGACCGACATTCAAATAGTATTGGGTCGAATTCCTAAAATTGAGAAATTCGTAAGTACTATTGATCACTTGAGTCCGTGCAGATTATTGTCAATGGTTAGCACGTGTCAACAACTACCTCAGCCTAAGCCAAGTTTAACTAAAAATGTCATTGTCGTATAGCAGTAATCAAAGTCATATTTTACTCGGGTCCTAGTAACCTAGCCTACTTCCCACCTCGTTGCTAAT